CCGCTGAGCTACAAATAAAGTTGTTAACCTCAACCTCTACCAACCTCTTTCCTCTATCACTTTCCTTTATGCCCTTTGGTGGTCGACAGGGGGCTCTCCTGGTGGATGTGTTCTACCTACTGCTTCTTGGCCTGGAATGGGAATCACTACCTCTACATCCCTACCCTTCTCACTGAAGCTATGAGTCTGCTCTTCATCCTGTGCTCCCTTCCTTGCCAAGCAGAAGGAACCACCCATACCTGGGCTTGGTGGTCCAGTTGTCTCCTGCAGTCATTATATCTGGGTTGTCTCAGTATCCCTTTTCTGATCTTGGAACTTTTTCCACAACTGTGTAATTGACTACCTTACATGAAATTCCCTCTGGTAAAATTTCTAGGGTAGGCCAGGTGCAGAGGCTCACACCTATAATCCCAGTGTTTTGGGAGGCCAAAGTGGGAGGATCACTTGAGCTTAGGAGTTCAACATTAGTCTGGGATTCAACAATAGTCTGGCAAGATGGCTGGGGCAAAACCCCATCTCTACAAAAAATAGCAAAAGTTAGCTGGGCTTGGTGGCACATGCCTGTAGTCCCAGGTACTCAGGAGACTGATGTGGGAGGATTAATTGAGCCCAGGTTACAGTGAGCTGAGATCATGCCACTGCACTCCAGCCTGGGTGACAGAGTGAGACCCCCATCTCAAAAAATTTAAAAATAATAATAAAGCTATCAAACAAATGAGAGGAAGGAAGAGATCTTATCCGTCAATGAATAATCCTAAAGTTTTCACTAACCTTTAATGAGATCCAAAGAATGCGAAAACAGCAATGTATTTTTTAAATTTCCTATCTGTGAAAACCACCATCTTATAATTTGACCTTGGTATTCTTTTCTGTTTAGTCATCTAATCATTTAATCATTATAGATTAAATAATCTATAGTTATCTTTTTTAAAAAAAGAGATATTAATTGAAGGCCAGGCGTGGTGGCTCATGCTCTAGGACTTTGGGACGCCACAGTGGGAGGATGGCTTGAACCCAGGAGTCTAGAACTCCTGAGCAACATAATGAGACCCCACCCCTGCAAAACACACAAAAATCAGCCAGGTCCAAGCTACTCAGGAGGCTGAGGTGGGAGGATCACTTCAGCCCAAGAATTCATGGCTATAGGAGGCTGTGATTGTGCCACTGCACTCCCACCTGAGATACAAAGCAAGACCTTGTCTCAAAAAAAAAAAAAAAAAAAAAAAAAGATACTATTTGGAAGCTGGGAAACTGCAAAAGGTGTCACATGCCTGTAGTCCCAGTTACTTAGGAGGCTGAGTCAGAAAGATTGTTTGAGCTTAGGAGGAGTTCAAATCCATTCTAAGCAGCATAGCAAGACCCCTGTACCTAAAAATCAATATTAAAACGACACTGATTTGGAAGCTGTACACACAAATCTATTTTAGTTCTAAAACTTCAACTAAATAAGTGTTTTTATCCTTACTCAACTTTCCTCTACAAACAACTCAGGCTCTTGGAAGGCAATAAGCAGAAAGCAAAGTAAACAGGAACTCTGTGCTTGTTTATTATTTCAATTTTTTAAAGTCCATGCCATGGCAAAATTTGTAGGCACCTCCTTAAAAAAAAATTCCACATTTATTTTGGAGATAAACTTGTGAATCAAATCAGATTTTTAAAATGGAAATTAGACAAAGCCATACATAGAAACTAACTGGCTATAGTGGCTATTCTCTAAGTTTAAAAACCTGGGCATTTATAAAGTTTACTTTTAAAAAGCATAGCATCAGCTCTCAACTTACACAAGTAATTCGCTAACATTTCTTCCCCAGAAATAATTTATAAAGAGGCTCTGGACAATATGCTAAATAAATAATATATTGAACCATGTAAATACACATACTCAATGTTTGTTTATGACTGAATAGTTTACATTTATGACTGGATAAGTTACACACAATATGCTGTGTTAGCAATATACTTTCTCATGAAATAAACCTTCGAGAAAGAGCCAGAAGACTTGCTTATATTCCTGACTCCATCAACATCAGGCTGTATCATCTGGGCCAAGTCACTTATGACTTATCCTATCTACCTGTAAAATGAGGAATAATAATATCTGCCTGTACTAGCTTATAACTAAAATAATAACTATCAAAAAACAAAGCTGTGGAAGACAGACATTATGTACATGTATTGAATGGCAACTTCTTTACCCAAAAGAAAAAGCTTTTTTTAAATTTTTATTTTTATTTTTAGATGGATTCTCACCCTGTCGCTGTCGCCTAGGCTACAGTGCAGTGTTGCAATCTTAGCTTACTGCAACTTTGGCCTCCCGGGTTCAAGTTCTATTTCTAGTAGAGACAGAGTTTTACCATGTTGGCCAAGCTGGTCTTGAACTCCTGACCACAAGTGACCTGCTGACCTTGGCCTCCCAAAGGGCTGGAATTACAGGCCTGAGCCACCATGCCTAGCTCTCAAAGGAAAATCTTAAAAGTTTTGAAATGTCTCACTGACTGATCTTGAAGAAGACAGAGTAATAGAGAAGACAGAACAAGGCTTTGAAAATAAGATAATCTAGACTTCACCACCTGCTTGTGATCTTGGGCAAGTCTATGTAAACTCTCTAACTTTGAATTTCCTCATAAGTAAAATACAAACATTTACCTCTTACAGGTTGTAGTGAGTATTAAATGAATACAAATATCTCAATTGCCTAGCACACTGCCTTAAGCATTCATAAAAAGTTTCTTTCCCTTGGAGTTTATGGTTACATTAAAAATCATATTCCCTCTTGGATTCACACAAAAACTTGATTTCAAGACAAGCTATAAAGCACATACTGGCTCTTCTCCCTCTTAAAACAAAACAAAACAAAAAACAAACAAACAAAAAAAACAAACCCAACTTTTTTAGATTGCAGATAATTAGTACAGTTTTTTGTTTCTGATAATCTCTGGTCAAAGGAATTTACTATCAACACATGTATCAGTGAGGTGGGTATTTATTTCCTACCAAAAAGTTTAATATCTCATGAGAATATTGTTTTATGTAGTCATTTCTTTAAACTATAGTATTTGATAGCACCTTTCTTTGTTAAGGGATGAACTAACAATTTAACTCAGTTATTTACATGGACTATATTCAACTTTATTATGAAAACCAAAAATACAAAACAAAAATCCTTTTAACTGCTTGCATATAACATTTCTAGCATTGCGCCTTCTACTTTCAGTAGTAAGCCTATGAGAAAGTACACAAAGAGCCCTCTTTTGTTTTCCTCTGGTCAGTAGATACACAAGAGGAATTTTCAGTTATGTTAAATCCACAATGATTTCAAAGCTAAAGAAAAAGGTTAGGAAGGAAATAGTTGAAAAATATCACTAGATAACAACTGACTTCCTTGTGGAGACATATGATTCATTCCTTCAAAAAAAGCAAATGATACCACCAAATTCCTACTCTGATCAAAGTTTAACCCCAAATATTATAGAAACTTTATGAGAAATCAGTTTAATACTGAATTCCTAGTCACAAAATATATTAAACAAAAAGTATAATCTGTGACAGGAAAGATGGAATGTTTCCAGGGGAGAAGAAATTTCTACAGTTCACCTGTAGCAGCAAATGCTTTTAATTGAACGATATATCCAATATATACTCAGAATCCAATAGCTGAACTCGCAAAGGTTTTGCATAGCAAAAATTTTGGCACAAAAAGTGGTAATAACATTTATTCAAAAATAAAACTGGAGTGATATTTAACAGTGTAAAACTTTCTAAACTAAGAAAAAAATGACCATGAAGGAAGTTCATCTGGTTTGCTTTCTAGACAAGGGTTTTGATAGAATTGAATGCTTTTGAACAAACAACAAAGTAACAATTAAACAAACAGAAGTTGATAGAGGCTCTGGAAATCGGCCACATTTACTCTGGATGAAACTCTTTCTGACAGTTTAAAAGAGAGGAATGGGGGTATAGGTCTGTTTTATCATCGCTTTCATCTAAAAACCATTAATCATTAAGGGTGGTACAGGTACCAAAGAGAATTTTGCTTCCATCCTAAATATATGTTTTCTTATAAGATACAGCAAGTTTTGCAGTTCATGGTGAATCTCCCGATGCTTTTGCAAGAGTACTTTTCTTGCTCTCCAAAACGATCTCATTCCTAATCTGCTGTTTCTGTTTGCCTCATCTGCACTTAGCAGATCATGCTTCAGTGACTTAGAAATCCCAGCCACCAAAATTCAAGCCAAAGTTTGAACTGAGAGGAAAGGGGGGAAAAATCAAGTAATTAAACTACACTTGAAAGAGAGAACGGTTTTACCTCCTATGACTTTATACAGTGTTCTTTAATCCAGAACCAGAGTCTAAATTTAAGGACACAAAAGTTATGAATTCATTTTTAACTTAAGCTTATAGTTATGTTATAACTATTATAATTCTCTGGGACACATCTTCCAATTTTACCTTCTGGCCATAACACAATACCTCTAAAACCATCTCACTTGTTAACACTAGATACTTCAAGTAAAACAGTTCAGTATTCTGAAAAGTTGCATTATTAAGGACTGCCTCAAATTGCTGCAAGTTATTATATGCTTGAATTAGAAACTAAAAGGGAAGGATAAAAAGTCTGTAGTAAGCCTGGAAATAAAGCCTGTACAATTAAGATTGATAACCATATTCTGGGGTTATTAAACCAATAGCCAGTGCTAATGGTTTTAAAAATTCAGTTCTTTTCATCTTATAAATCAAAGGATAACCTTGAAAAGCTTTCTTAAAAATTAAACAAAACCACCTTAAAAGATGTATTATCAAATATGCAATACTTTTATACAGTTAAAAGTTGAACGCCTAGGGAATTAATACATAGAAATATCTGAAAGAACAATATTAATGAACTTATATATACAAAATCAATGCTCTATTAAAAAATAAAACAAAAAAAATTAACAGCTAGCTCTCTGTTTTTGTTCTGCTAAACAGTCATCTTAACTGGTAAGAGCTTTATAACATACCTTTGTAGAATGCCATTTTCCTGGGGTATTACACCATTGATAGCTGCCTGCAAACAAGAAACAGAGAAGGCCATTTAAAGAAACAGGTAAGTACTCAAGTGCAGTGGGGAACACTTTAAAAGGAAATAAGTATACTTTGAAAAATTTATTTAAATAATAAATTTTTTTAGTGATCCAAATGTTCTCTATTAAATGTTTCTCTATTTCTCAGTTATAAATCAAATTTTAGAAAATTAAAAAACATGCATTTGGCATATAATATCCCCAAACCTTGAGTCATAAAAAAGTCTAGTTCCACAGTCCTAATTCAGGCAAAACACCCACAAAAAACAAAGTTTAAGGAGGTCAAAACAGAAAAAATCAGTAACTTAATCTTACAAACATTATTTCCTTTCTCAAACTGAGAAGAGCAAGATATAAAATCACAAATGCATGTACTATTTTATGTTATGATCATTATTCTTAAAGAAAAGAACATTGAAAAGAAATGAATACAGAGGCAAAAGTCCTTCAATAAACCTAATACCATGACTAGTAACAGGTGACAAAAGGAAGTAGCATTAGGAGAGGTTTCCTTATATAAAACATCCCTAAAATTAATTTCTAAGCTATCAAGTTACCAAGCAGTCAGAACATAGCACAGGTATGACAGGAGACGGATGTTTTGAAGGCTATTAAGAAAGCAGGCTGTCAAATCCTGGACTGTAGACAGCTTACTGCAGGGGAATAGAGAATATTCTCAGGAAAAGAAAACAAAAACAAACAAGAACGAAAGCCCAACTTTTCCAACGTTGTCTTTATATCATAACAACTTCTCTTTCCCTACACTTCCGGCATCCACATCAAAATGAATAATCCACAAAAACAAAAAAACGCTTACCACTTTAATGTTTTATCAGCTGCCTGGAAATCCATTGCTAAAAGGAGTTTGGATATTTTATGAAATATTAACTTAAATATTTGCCAGAGGTAGGTAAAATTCACACCATTGTACTGCTGAATGGAAATAGAGTATAGGGTGTTTGCTATGAATTTTGGGAATTGTAATGTTCCAGTGGAAAAAAAAAAAAGAAATCCACAGATTAATATAGAAAATAGATACCATAGAACCCTGGAAACTCTGGAGGCTCAAAAATCCTTTGAGCAAAGCAAATGCTAAAATCAGTTTTCAGATACAAAGTCAATGGAAGTATTTCTGCCCATTACTAGGTCAACTATCCTCTTTCTGTTAATAGCAAGGGTTCCATGTACATATATCTCCTTTGCTAAATAACAGTAGATGGTTAAGAGAATACTCTGTGGTGCTGAAGAAGAAATAAAATACCAGAGCTTAGAAAGATTTGGTTCAAATCTTTCAAAAAAAAATTTCACTGAGGAATGCCGAAGTATAATGGAAAGAACACTAAGGACTCAGAAAGTCCAAAGTCTGAAACCAGGCTCTCCCATTTATTAATTTGGTAACCTTAGTATATTCACTGAACTTATTTGAGCCTCAGTTTCCTTGTCTGTATAATACATAATTGTATAATCAGTTAAACATTACATACTCAGCCACAAAAGTCCTACCTTTTTTGTTTCTCAAAGGCCTGTCTAGCACAATGTCTGCACATTGAAAGTACTCATTAATCATTTATTAAAGAAATTAATAATAGAAGAATATAAAGAAAAGTCACCTATTCAAGACTTTAAAGTTGGCCCAGAAAAGCCTGACTAAAATAAAGCCTCATTCTTTCAGTTGAGACTGAAGAAAGAGTGAAAAGTAGCAAGATGGGGAGGGGATTCTATGCAGAAGGAACAGTGACACAAATCCACTTTTCAACTCTTTCCTTTCCCAAAATCTTAGACTATTTTAAATAGTTAATTTATCTGGAGAAGTTGGCTCCTGACATCAAACAACAAACTACGTACATAAATGAGTCAAATGTAATCCAGAACAAAAGTACAATAAAAGTATAATATGGCAAAGGAATAGAAAATAGGAAACAGATTTCTGCCTGTGAGGATTAAGGAAAGCTTTAGAGAAGAAGGGACATTTATTCTATACGTCAAACAATGAGAAGATATAGAATCAAAGGAAAATTCCAGATTCCAACATGTTCAATTCAATGTTAACTTTCAGGTGACAGAAAGATATCATTTGTTCATAAAATAAATGTGTATTAATTGTCAACTATGTACCAAGAACTATGCTAGGCAATTAAGATATAGTGATGAACATAACACAGCTTGCCTTCTAGGAAGGACAAAGTATATTCAATAATTAGTTTTATTATGAAAAATTCGGCTAATACCAAAATGGAGATGTCTAAAAATTAACTGAAAAAAAATCACAGCTACATTAAGAAAAGCAACATCTGTTTAAAGGCAAATAAATGAAGCCCTAGAAATATTTTAATTCCCTCCCTCACTCAGGTATCTTCTTTGTTGAAGAAAAAGGAGAAAAAGATAAAATGTTGAGTAAATTCATTACAAAGAAAACAAATAGGCTGGCGTGGTGGCTCACACCTGAAATCCCAGCACTTTGGGAGGCCGAGGTGGGCGGATCACGAGGTCAAGAGATCGAGAGCATCCTGGCCAATGTGGTGAAACCTCGTCTCTACTAAAAAAAAAATTTGCTAGGCATGGTAGCACATGCCTGTAGTCCCAGCTACTCAGAAGGCTGAGGCAGAAGAATAGCTTGAACCCAGGAGGAGGAGGTTGCAGTGAGCCGAGATTGCGCCACCGCACTCCAGCCTGGTGACAGAGCAAGACTCCATCTCAAAATGAAAGAAAGAAAAAAAAAGGAAGGAAGGAAGGAAGGGAGGGAGGGAGGGAGAAAAATAAAAATGTAAAGGGCAGAGAGAAGAAAGCTGGAAAATATAAGAATACACTAAAATTATGAGGCCTTAAGGTTATTAGATATATTTTGACAATAACTAAATTATAGAAGACTTAAAGATAAATGCGAAACTAAGAACAACTGACTCTCTTAAAACATTTAGTGTGAAAAGCATAAAGACAGAAACTGTAAGAAGAATGGCTGCAGTAAGTTTTTGTTTGCTTTTTTTTTCCTCCATAAGAATATTGATTTCTTGAATTTATACAATCCACAAAAAAAAAAAAGATAAAAAAGACTCAAGAAACGGGTAAAATTGAAAGTTTAGTTAATTACAACACTCTTCCAATTGCCTATTCATTGCCAAGCACTATGCAAGACTTTGTGGATGGCCCAGTGCCTGATCTACAGCTCAGGAGAGGGGCTCAGATAGAGGGGATACTTTTAGAAAAGAGATCAGTAAGATCTGGACTGTAGACTAAAAATTATACTGAGTTTATTATAAAAACTACTTTACTTGCGAAAAACTATCTCATTGTTAATACTATTTTTGCTAGGAAGATATAATATCTCTCACTCTATAAATAGCAAAATGAAAGACTGATTAAATATTTGGTCAAAATAATAGAGAACAGAATCAGGAAAATATTTTCATTTCTGAGACTGACTCAAACAACTACAGTGGATCATGATCATACTGTAATGTATTTTAAGAAGAACATCTTGACTTGACCTAGTTTATAATCACTGGAAACTCCATTTTAATATAACTATTATTCCCTTCGTACTAATTATATTCATAATATTGTAATCAATTAATATACCTCAATCAAAATCTAGCCTCTAAATTCTGTTTAGCAAAACTGACAACAAAAACACCACCCTCTAAAATGTTATTTTCCATAATACACTGAAAAACATTTAAGGTATGCATAAAACACAGTGGAAGCCAATGTCAGAGATGGCCAAAGGAGCCTTAAAAAAGGCGGAAAATCATGATATTCATGGTGGGCCTTAGACCTCTGGGGAAAGAAAATGGCAAAAATTTCTATAAATTTCATTATAACATCACATATGAAAGGAAACTGAGTCACTGGTAAATCGGTAGATTATAAAACTGTGGCATGTAATATAAATCATCCACTACATAGAATGCTAGGATATCCTTTCTCTAACATATATGGAAAATCTTAATTTTAATCCTTTATTATAAACAAATCTTAATTTTAATCCTTTATTATAAACAAAAGACCGTTAAAGAAAATGGCAATGACAAATTTTTAAGAAGAACAGAGATGACACAGGGATATATGGATAGTATCCAACAACCTCAAAAATAACTTACGAGTAAAGGAGTTGTAGTAACAATAATGGCAGCTAACATTGTACCATTTTTATTAAATGTGAGGCTTTTCAAAGTACATTACATATATCAATTCATTTAACTCTCACATTACCTCAATTTGACAGAAAAGGACACCAAGAAAACTGTCATAACAATAGGTAGGCAAATGATGAAAAATAAAGAATTGCTAAATTGGACATCAAAATTCAAAGTGTTTGCCCTTTGAAAGATACCATTAAGAAAATAAAAAGACGAGGGGAGGACTCAAGATGGCGCTGTGAGAACAACCCAGGATTGAAGCTCTCGGTGCATGTGCGGAGAGGGTGAGTCAGGGCCGCATTTCCAGACAAATCTTTGATGCCCACAGAACAAGAAAATTTCCAGGTATAAAAGAGACGCGGGACACCAGGCAGAGGTTTTGGCTGGTGTAGCCGGCAGCCGGTGTGGCAGCGGACCGCGCAGTAGCACAGTGGCGCTACACAGCGCTCTGCACAAAGCGCACTGGTCTGGGTGCCCTGCTGAACCGGCAACCTGAGACTTGAGAGGGCTGTCCCTGAGACTGAACGGGACTTGGACAGAGAGCCAGCCCAGGAGATTCCAGGGACACAGCGTTTGGGGTAGCGCAGTGCAACAAAAAAAACGGCGATTCCAAACACTCCTGGTGGAGAGGTTCCCTGAGAGCGCAGCTCCATGGGGGAGGGGCGTCCGCAATTACCAAGGCAACCCGCACCTACTGAGGTACATGCCCATTGCTGACGCAGCCTGCCGTTGCCAAGGCAACCCGCTACAACAGAGAGGCTTTGCTGCAGGGTGTAGCCTGTGGCAGCAGGGCGGAGACCGCAGCAGAAGGGCAGAGCCTGCAGCAACAGAGCGAACTTCACACCTGA